AACAGACTCTGGCTACATTGGGCCTTTAAAACAGACACTGGCTACACTGGGCCTTTATAACAGACACTGGCGACACTGGACCTTTATAACAGACACTGGCTACACTGGGCCTTTAAAACAGACACTGGCTACACTGGGCCTTTATAACAGACACTGGCTACACTGGGCCTTTAAAACAGAGGTCCTTTCTTTCTGCTGATCAGCACACTTCCCTTGTTCTCCTGATCCTGACCGACTGTTGAGGAAGCTTCATAGAGAGACAGAGACCCAGGATGCACCCCAAATGGAGCCCTATTCCCTATGTAGTGCACCATTTTTGGTCAAAAGTAACACACCATATAGGGAATAGGGTGCAATTTGGAGTGCAGACATAGGTTGCAACACTCACTCCCAGCAGGTGAAACACGAGAGGATGCTTACCTTTCCTTTACCTGGCTGGTGCACCGCGGTGGTACAGTGCTGCACACCTTTCTACCTGGGCTATTACCCCTAATGATGCCAGGCTACTGTACTGTACTGGTCTGTACTGGTCTGTACTGTACTGGTCTCACCTTGCACTGCTGTAGCCAGTCCAAAATACACTGTGTTCTTCTGCATAGCCTGACCTCAAAGAACTAGGAAATGAAATTGATGAATGCGTCCTAAATGGCATCATATTCCTCATAGTGCACTACTTTGGACTGGGGCCTATAGGGCCTGTGTTCTTCTGCATTTCCTGACCTCAAAGAACTAGGAATTTCATCTTATGTCTGTGAGCAGCAAGTGACTCTGGGTATGAGTGTCACGAACGTTGAGAGACGGGTCAGACCAAGGTGCAGCGTGGTATGCGAACATGTTTATTAAACTGGATAAACACTAGACAAAATAACAAACTCAACGAAACCGTGAAGTCCTATGGGCTATACAAGAAACAAGCCTAACAGGAACACAAACAAGATCCCCACAACCCAGGCAGGAAAACTGGCTGCCTAAGTATGATCCCCAATCAGAGACAACGAGCGACAGCTGCCTCTGATTGGGAACCACACCCGGCCAAACATAGAACTACAAAACATAGATTTTCACACCCTGACCAAACTACCCAGATAATAACAGTCTCTCCAGGTCAGGGCGTGACAATGAGGCAGTAGTCTTCCAGAGTCTAATTATGATACTCTGTTGTGCTACTGTTGTTACTAGCTACTGTACAATAGGCCAGTGTGTTGATATGGTGTGAGGGAATTTCCATTAGTCCCGGTCGTTCTCACTCCACGTACTATTAGATGATCACAACACTGTTATACCCACGCTGTCATAATATGACTCCAATATAAACTATGTATGGAGTAGGCTGGCCAACTGAGATTACACTTTGGGGAAATAATCCAGGTTAGTGGCTTGGGGTGGTACATTGGTGTTAGCCACTGCCTCTGGATCACATGTAGAGCTGTGAGTATGGGGTTGAATCCGACCCGCTGCTTTAGCACTCTCTCTGCTGTCCTTTCCTATCTACCTACCTCTCTCTCTCTCTCTCTATCCTGTTCGATACACAGAAAAAATACGAAAAGCGTGGGACTACCACTCCTTGAAAAAATTAATCAAGGTTAGCTGTCAACTTGAATATCTGTGTAGCCTAAATTCAAGATGCTTCCTCCCTCTCAACCAATAGCAAGTGGAGCCAATGGCATGTTAAACTAGTTCTCCCTCCCTAAGCCACAGCCCCTTTAACACCAAATGTGAAAGGCACATGAAAAGTCATGGGGAAGAGACAGAGTCATGTCAAGGGAGAGAGGTGACAGCTGGTATGGAATTGTTTAGCTCTAGAATGAGTAGTTATTATGCTTTGGGTTCTGACTGAGACCACACATTCTGTTTTCTTGGACACAATATGAGATATTATCATATTCAAATAGCTTAATTAGGCTCTTTATGTGTCCAGGGTCTGTAGACAATTATTCAATGGATGATTTACATAACAATCATAAAAATGATGATGAGGAAAACCGCATGGACACAACAGTCCAGTAAACGGGTAGGGCTGTAATTCAGCCACTGATGGCCTCTAGTCGCTGCATCTATTTATACAGTCCGTTGCATCGGGAATTTTTGGCACAGTGCCAGCAGTTGGTTCTCTGTTGATCACTTTGTTGAGGAAAAGGTTTGATCGGGTTCCGGTCATTCTCAAAGAAAGAAGCAGGGGCTTCAATAGGACATTTAAAGCATCTGGACACTCTTACATAGAATGATCTTAGTTCACTTGCTTGATTTATAGGAGATCACAACAGAACATAAATACTTCGATCTGCTACAGTGTAGCTACAACAGCAGGCTTCAGGTCCGTCGAATGTTGTTTATGCATTACAGCCGGGCGACGCTGCAGAAAACTTTTTAGAGACAGTATCTAAACGGGATCCTTGAGACGTCCCAACTCTGCGGTCACCCCATTGAAGTTGAAATGTAAAACGGTTCCCGTAGGGGTTAGGGTAGTGTAAGGGTTGGGTTAGGGCAGCGTTTCCTAAACTCGGTTCTCGGGACCCCAAGGGGTGCACGTTTTGGTTTTTGCCCTAACACTACACAGCAAATTCAAATGATCAACGCTTGATGATTAGGGCAAAAACCAAAACGTGCACCCCTTGAGGTCCCGGGGACCGATTTTGCCCTGGGATAGAGTAGCGACGTCCCAAGGATCCCAGATAGAACTAATCCTGCCGGGACCGATGAAAGTGAGTTGAGTTCGCCGCGCGAGATGAAAGAACAAGTGAGCGTGCATTATTAGGCCACTCAGTCACTTTCATCACGGGGAATATTTGATGATAAACTCTTTTTAAATTTCACTGGGATGATGAACTTAGTTTTCACTGTTTTAAAGCTTGAAAAACTTCCCGGGAAAATCCAACAAAAGTTTCTCCCGAGACCCTGGGCAAAGCTCGTGCCTCGCGGGACAGAGCTCGAGACGCTCCCTAAATAATCATGTCACACCAAAATAAAAGGAGACGTTCTTCAAATGGGCCACAGGCACAAGCAATACATACTAATGACAGATAACAACATATCAGAGTTTCTCAATAACTTTAAATGCATTTTTACCTGCTGTTTTCGCCTTTATTGTTTGAAGGCGGTGGGTGCAGAACAGTTTGGTTATCCTCCATATCCACCACACATTTCGTATGCAGTTCCGTTTCTGCAGAGTTCAGAGCAAAGGTGTCTGTCTTGTTGAGAACGATTCCATATATTTTAAATCAAAGTAGCTAGCTAGTTAGGCCCTAGCTAATAATCATGTATCTACTTAAACTACATCTGACTGACACTTGGCACGTTTGATTTATTGCCCTTATTTCAGGTTGGAATTAGCTAGCTAACGTTACACTAGCCGCATATAAGCGGCCTGTCATTTGGCTAGAAGACTTGGTTGCTAACTTTCTACCTGCAGCAAAAAATCATTGTGGGATAAAGGTTAAAGAAGGGGGACTAAAAACCAAAACTAGCTAGCACGTATTAAATACAACTGTAACGTTTGCCGAGTTCTGGTTCTTTTTCAGTTAACTTACCTCTCCGGTTCATGGGTCGGACTCTGACTGCAACTTTTACCTTTGTATCCGACATTTTCATCCACTTTCCTCCCACCCTGGACTACCATCAATGTGTTATCTAGCAAGCTATGCGCAAGCTATGGCTAGCGGTCTAGCTTTCCCCGTCCCCGAAAAGACCACTCCACTTTCAGTCCAGTTTCAGCCGGTGGTGAAAGTGTGCGTATGCCCTAATAACACAATCCCAAAAGAGTCCAGTCCAGAAGACTGAGAAAATAAAAACGGAACATTGTCTTTATATCCATCAAGTTAGCTTCCTATGCAGATCCAGCACTGTGCTCCAGCCCCAGACAGCATCACAACCGCCATCTTCCAGTGGGAGCAGTTCGCACGACTGGCTCTCTCTGGCTGCTGGAAATCCTGCGGTGCCGAAGGCTATGCAAAAAAAAAAGAAGATTTCTCATGACAAGAACGGAATTGCCAATAGTGGGGAAACCCAGCAGGGTGATCGAGAAAAGTCGGAAACAGTATCAGCGCACGCGTTTATGGCGTTCCAAAATATTGTGAAATGTGAAATGCAGACTGTAAAATGTGTAAGAAGAAGAAGAGGAGGAGGAGGAGGAGATAGTAGCCCTCCTCATCAGAGGCATGAAGTGACTAAACTTTTACTGATGCCCATCAAATTTGCTTTCTGTTTGAGCCCTTTTTTTTATATATGTCTGGGACTGGACCGGATAGCCTAGCCTACTTGGTCGATACACCAGGAGTGTAATCATTAGTCCAAAACGTTTTGCAAAGGAAACCGTTTACTCCAAACGGAAAACGTTTTACAATGAAAACGAGAGTTTCAATTGGACAAATTCAGGTTTCGTTCTGTTTCGTTCGTAGTGAATACACCCCATGATGCAGAAAATGTGCAAATGACCCCCAAAAGTGTTCAAACAAATATACTTTATTAAAAATAAATTAAATAAATTAACCTTATTGCAACAGGTCTCCCTTGTAAAAGAGATCTTCTGACCTCAATGGGACTTCCTGGATAGATAAAGATTAATACAATTAAATGTATTGTCTAATTAGCACCAAGCAGTCAGTTAAAACGTAACCAGAGATAAGCAATGTTCCTTAAATATGTATTTAGTAATGACATAGGTGCAGTCAGTGTAATCACAGTACAGTTTTACAATTGGTAGGCCTAGTTTATTTGCATATCTCAGAAGTAATTATCCACCTGTCATTACCATGTTATTACAAAGTATTAGGGACACTTGAAAATGGGAGGAGAGCACACACATCATTTTATTCATGCTCTTCATTTAATTATTTTCCAACAGCATTCAAAAAGAAAAACATGCTGTTCACACACAAAAAAAATCAGCTTAAAACATAAATATAATTTTAATTAGCATTTTATTGTTTTACATCAAAACAGGGGAATCACCAGTCATTATGCATTTTGTTTATGTATTTTTTCACAATACAAGTCAGCCTACATCATTTTCGGACTAGAATAGCATCTGAGTGAACTGAATACATCTTCACTGCATGGTCTCCACTGTCTAAAACAATCAGCGTGTTCTGTGCTGTGGCGACCAGCCCCACCGGGCGAACCAAGTCTTCACTGACCAGGGGGGTTAGGACCAGGCTGTTCTGGAGCTTTCCCAAACTCCAAATCAACCCCCGCTGGGAGTCTATCACGATCACATCCCCGTCCCTGTCAAAGGCCACGGCAGACACACAGGGCCACACTGAGGCCCCCAGGCTCAGAGTGAAGCTGTCTATCTGAGAGAGCACATTAAAGTCTTTGTTGAATATTGTCAGTCTGGTAGGCCGGGGGCCATTTGGAGGTTGTGTGGTGGTGAGCCCCAGTGTCTCCACCAGGGCGATGTTCCCGGTCACCCGACAGCAGGCCACTGCCTTAGGCCGCTGGAGGTCGGTTATGACCGCTCGGTTCATCAGAGTCACGCCACGGGCAAAGTCCACCACAACCTGGGAGAGCGTGCCGGCCTGGACGTCAGTGACCAGGATATTCCCACAGCTGTCCACGTCCACCCCCCAGGGCATCTGGAAGGAGTCCCGCACCTCCAGAACATAACTCCCCCTAGAGGTGAACACTTTCACTGCACCGTCCCCGGCATCCGTCACGACCACATACCCGCTGGGAGTCACCGCCACATCCACCGGGTGACACACCTCTCCGTGGCCACGACCCCTCCGCCCGAACCCGTGCAGCCGCCTGCCCTGTGGCCCGAATACCACCACCCTTCTGTCTCCATCGTGTACCACCACCATGGTCCCAGAGGACCCGAACACGGCCACCCCCGTCGGGTTGATCAGGGACCCCCAGCCCCCGAAGGCAGAGCGAAGCCGCAGAGCTCCAGAGCCCAGACCGCCGACCCAGCCGCTGCCTCCTCTGACCTGATGAGGGACAGGGGACCTGGGGGAGTGGGAGAGCAGAAGATCCTGGAGGTCTGTCAGTGCCTGGCAGTGGGAGGTGCTGTCAACGTCACACAGCTGCCGGCAGAAAGGGCACTCAAGCTTCTTGAGGACAGGGTGGGAGAGTGCCCGGACACATTCCAGACAGAGTACATGGCCGCAGGACAGGTTGTGAGGCCGGCGATCCTTCTGCCGTGGGTTATACTTCTCGAAGCAGACTTTACACTCCAGCAGGTTGACGTGGATCTCTCTCAGGAGGATCTCCTCTGTTCTCAGTGAGGAAGGAGGAACAGGAACATCAGCCATAATAGTGTAGATATCCTCTCTTTTACTTTACCCAACTGCAGTCACAGTGACAGCTCTGCTGCAGTCTCTTTACCCAACTGCAGTCACAGTGTCAGCTCTGCTGCATGCTCTTTACCCAACTGCAGTCACAGTGTCAGCTCTGCTGCAGTCTATTTACCCAACTGCAGTCACAGTGTCAGATCTGCTGCAGGCTCTTTACCCAACTGCAGTCACAGTGTCAGCTCTGCTGCACTCTCTTTACCCAACTGCAGTCACAGTGTCAGCTCTGCTGCAGTCTGCTACATCTGGAAAGTATTTTTGAGAAAACAGGGAGGAAACAGGTGGAAAGTCAGAGAGGGAAAGAGAGGAGGAGGAAAGAGACAGAGAGAGGAAAACACAACACCGGGGACATTTTGAAAGTCTGAGAGCACTGGCATCCTGTAGGCTCAGGCTGTCATGTGACTTTGACACCACTCTGAGGCCCTCTGCTGCCCTCTAGGGGAAAGAGGTGTCACACAGGTCTGAGGAGCAAGTCTGTGACTTCTGGAATCTCTGAGCCATGCAGTACAACTTTACACTAGAGCGTATGGTAATGGGAGGCTTCAGAAAGTACTTACTTCTGTTTGTCAGAATAGACACAAGTACTCAGTGATTTAGGGGCCCTCTGCTAGGTACTCCACATTACTGTGTTTGACTTCAAGAACATTATACTGTAATTTCTAGTCTATTGCCAAAGTCATTGCTTTAAGTTCTTCCTGGCTTGGCAGTAGCATCAATTAACAGTTTTTTTAAACATATCTCTTTATAGGTCAGAACATGGCAGCTATTTCTGTCTGTCTGTTCCCTGGTGTGCCGAGCGAGTGTAATCTGATCCCTCTGGCTACATCTCAAAAGGCACCCTACTCCCTATATAGTGCACTACTTTTGACCAGCACCCAATGGGCCTTGGTCAAAAGTAGTGCACTGTATAGGGCGTAGGGTGCCATTTGGGACAGGCTCGTTGAGTGGTGAGGAAGGACAGCTCCAGGCTCCAGACCAGGCCCACTTCCCTCTCCTGCTACAGAGAAAGCAGAGCCCCCTCCAGAGGTCAATCAAGGTGATTACACATCTTCTACTGGACAGCAACCCAGAAACAAATCACACGTGAGTGCTGGCCAAGCTACTTCATCACCACGAGACTATGGTTTTGTCGACCCAAGGGCCTAATTGGATAGTGGCAAGCGAGTTCAAAAAAGACCTAGAGTTGGACAAGCTATTAACTGTAGTGCTTAAACAAAATCATTGTACTTAGTGATTAGGCCTTTATGCAGATACTGTACCTTGGATAACAAAAATCCAGCATTGGTGTTTGGAGGAACCCAAAGTAGGGTCCCAAATGTGTTGTACACTGCTCAAAAAAATAAAGGGAACACTTAAACAACACAATGTAACTCCAAGTCAATCACACTTCTGTGAAATCAAACTGTCCACTTAGGAAGCAACACTGATTGACAATACATTTCACATGCTGTTGTGCAAATGGAATAGACAACAGGTGGAAATTATAGGCAATTAGCAAGACACCCCCAATAAAGGACTGGTTTTGCAGGTGGTGACCACAGACCACTTCTCAGTTCCTATGCTTCCTGGCTGATGTTTTGGTCACTTTTGAATGCTGGCGGTGCTTTCACTCTAGTGGTAGCATGAGACGGAGTCTACAACCCACACAAGTGGCTCAGGTAGTGCAGCTCATCCAGGATGGCACATCAATGCGAGCTGTGACAAGAAGGTTTGCTGTGTCTGTCAGCGTAGTGTCCAGAGCATGGAGGCGCTACCAGGAGACAGGCCAGTACATCAGGAGACGTGAAGGAGGCCATAGGAGGGCAACAACCCAGCAGCAGGACTGCTACCTCCGACCTTTGTGCAAGGAGGAGCAGGAGGAGCACTGCCAGAGCCCTGCAAAATGACCTCCAGCAGGCCACAAATGTGCATGTGTCTGCTCAAACGGTCAGAAACAGACTCCATGAGAGTGGTATGAGGGCCCGACGTCCACAGGTGGGGGTTGTGCTTACAGCCCAACACCGTGCAGGACGTTTGGCATTTGCCACTGGCGCCCTGTGCTCTTCACAGATGAAAGCAGGTTCACACTGAGCACATGTGACAGACGTGACAAAGTCTGGAGACACCGTGGAGAACGTTCTGCTGCCTGCAACATCCTCCAGCATGACCGGTTTGGCGGTGGGTCAGTCATGGTGTGGGGTGGCATTTATTTGGGGGGCCGCACAGCCCTCCATGTGCTCGCCAGAGGCAGCCTGACTGCCATTAGGTACCGAGATGAGATCCTCAGACCCCTTGTGAGACCATATGCTGGTGCGGATGGCCCTGGGTTCCTCCTAATGCAAGACAATGCTAGACCTCATGTGGTGGGAGTGTGTCAGCAGTTCCTGCAAGAGGAAGGCATTGATGCTATGGACTGGCCCACCCGTTCCCCAGACCTGAATCCAATTGAGCACATCTGGGACATCATGTCTCGCTCCATCCACCAACACCACGTTGCACCACAGACTGTCCAGGAGTTGGCAGATGCTTTAGTCCAGGTCTGGGAGGAGATCCCTCAGGAGACCATCCGCCACCTCATCAGGAGCATGCCCAGGCGTTGTAGGGAGGTCATACAGGCACGTGGAGGCCACACACACTACTGAGCCTCATTTTGACTTGTTTTAAGGACATTACAAAGTTGGATCAGCCTGTAGTGTGGTTTTCCACTTTAATTTTGAGGGTGACTCCAAATCCAGACCTCCATGGGTTGATCAATTTAATTTCCATTGATAATTTTTGTGTGATTTTGTTGTCAGCACATTCAACTATGTAAAGAAAAAAGTATTTAATAAGATTATTTAATTCATTCAGATCTAGGATGTGTTATTTTAGTGTTCCCTTTATTTTTTGGAGCAGTGTATAAGTATTGTGTAAATAGCTATATATTTTGGAATCACCATATGTGTGCTGGAACCAGGAAGCATTCCACTATACATTATGTGTGCATTATAATCATTCAGCCCCATCAACCTTCTCAACAATGTACCCTCTGTCTGCCACTAGCAGTTTCACTTCCTTACACATGATCAAGACATCTGTGACAAATAAGTATAAAGTAATTACAGTTCCATTACTTGTTTCTCTTATGCCATCATTACACCATTTGAATGACAAGGGGAGTTACAGAGAACGGATACTCCTGAGTGGCGCAGTGGTCTAAGGCACTGCATCGCAGTGCTAACTGTGCCACTAGAGATCCTGGTTCAAATCCAGGCTCTGTCGCGACCGGGAGACTCATGGGGCGGCGCACAATTGGCCCAGTGTCGTCCAGGGTAGGGGAGGGAATGGCCGGCAGGGATGTAGCTCAGTTGATAGAGCATGGCGTTTACAAAAATATGTATTCACTAACTGTAAGTCGCTCTGGATAAGAGCGTCTGCTAAATGACTAAAATGTAAATATGCCTTGAGAATGGATAAGAACACTGTTACAGTGGGGGAAAAAAGTATTTAGTCAGCCACCAATTGTGCAAGTTCTCCCACTTAAAAAATCATCATAGGTACACGTCAACTATGACAGACAAATTGAGAATTTTTTTCTCCAGAAAATCACATTGTAGGATTTTTTATGAATTTATTTGCAAATTATGGTGGAAAATAAGTATTTGGTCACCTACAAACAATCAAGATTTCTGGCTCTCACAGACCTGTAACTTCTTCTTTGAGAGGCTCCTCTGTCCTCCACTCGTTACCTGTATTAATGGCACCTGTTTGAACTTGTTATCAGTATAAAAGACACCTGTCCACAACCTCAAACAGTCACACTCCAAACTCCACTATGGCCAAGACCAAAGAGCTGTCAAAGGACACCAGAAACAAAATTGTAGACCTGCACCAGGCTGGGAAGACTGAATCTGCAATAGGTAAGCAGCTTGGTTTGAAGAAATCAACTGTGGGAGCAATTATTAGGAAATGGAAGACATACAAGACCACTGATAATCTCCCTCGATCTGGGGCTCCATGCAAGATCTCACCCTGTGGGGTCAAAATGATCACAAGACCGGTGAGCAAAAATCCCAGAACCACACGGGGGGACCTAGTGAATGACCTGCAGAGAGCTGGGACCAAAGTAACAAAGCCTACCATCAGTAGCACACTACGCCGCCAGGGACTCAAATCCTGCAGTGCCAGACATGTCCCCCTGCTTAAGCCAGTACATGTCCAGGCCCGTCTGAAGTTTGCTAGAGTGCATTTGGATGATCCAGAAGAGGATTGGGAGAATCTCATATGGTCAGATGAAACAAAAATAGAACTTTTTGGTAAAAACTCAACTCGTCGTGTTTGGAGGACAAAGAATGCTGAGTTGCATCCAAAGAACACCATACCTACTGTGAAGCATGGGGGTGGAAACATCATGCTTTGGGGCTGTTTTTCTGCAAAGGGACCAGGACGACTGATCCGTGTAAAGGAAAGAATGAATGGGGCCATGTATCGTGAGATTTTGAGTGAAAACCTCCTTCCATCAGCAAGGGCATTGAAGATGAAACGTGGCTGGGTCTTTCAGCATGACAATGATCCCAAACACACCGCCCGGGCAACGAAGGAGTGGCTTCGTAAGAAGCATTTCAAGGTCCTGGAGTGGCCTAGCCAGTCTCCAGATCTCAACCCCATAGAAAATCTTTGGAGGGAGTTGAAAGTCCGTGTTGCCCAGCGACAGCCCCAAAACATCACTGCTCTAGAGGAGATCTGCATGGAGGAATGGGCCAAAATACCAGCAACAGTGTGTGAAAACCTTGTGAAGACTTACAGAAAACGTTTGACCTGTGTCATTGCCAACAAAGGGTATATAACAAAGTATTGAGAAACTTTTGTTATTGACCAAATACTTATTTTCCACCATAATTTGCAAATAAATTCATTAAAAATCCTACAATGTGATTTTCTGGATTTTTTTTCCCTCATTTTGTCTGTCATAATTGACGTGTACCTATGATGAAAATGACAGGCCTCTCTCATCTTTTTAAGTGGGAGAACTTGCACAATTGGTGGCTGACTAAATACTTTTTTCCCCCACTGTATAACAAAGGCCTTTGTACAAAGGCTATACGTTTTAACCTCAACACAGCACAAGGTATTTCTAATGCGACATACAAATATAGTCTACAAGAGAATTGAAAAGGAAATGCAAAATATTTTTTATAAAGTTTTATTAATTCAGAGTGAAAAACAAAACAAAAACACAAGTCTCCTTTTCGAGAGGAATTGTTTTGGCAAAATGGCGTCTTCATTCCAGAAACAACGTACCATATTCCATACACCCAGGAAGTCTGGTCTATGCCACCTGGGGATGAGTGTCAGTGTCAGATTGTCATGAGAAACATATTTGTGCAGAGATGATGGCTATGTTTGGATACTTCTAAAATGCACCCTTCTACCCTCCCTCCCTTCCTTGAAGTAATCACTTATCTGACAACTGGCTGGCTCAGAGTGCCATCGCTAACCTCCATTTTGTCAAAGCACATTTCTCAGTAATTATATGCAATCTTGTATGCAAAGGTAGCTTACAGACCCAGCTATGTCAGAACAGTGTTTACTCCAAGGGAGGGATGGAGGAAGGATGGATGCATTCTAAGAGTATTGGAACAGGGCCAGTGACTGACAAACCTTTACTGATCAATAGAACACTGAGATCACAAGAATCAATGGAATAAGAACAACTCAAAAAGAAAAGTAGTAGCTGAATACAAACTGCAGAAGTGTTGAGTGTAAAAAAAGAAAAGAAAGACTAAAAAAAGAGTACATACATACAGGCACAAGGGCATTGAATTAAAAATGTTACATCAACACTGAAAAGACATTGTGTGAATACTGGCTTTCTGATGTGGTGTGACACTGACGCAAATACCGTTTGTTACTACTACTACCTACTACTACTACTACTACTACTACTACTACTACTACTACTACTACTACTACTACTACTACTACTACTACTACTACTACTACTACCTACTACCTACTACTACTACTACTACTACTACTACTACTACTACTACTACTACTACTACTACTACTACTACTACTACTACTACTACTACTACTACACTACTACTACTACTACTACTACCTACTACTACTACTACTAACTACTACTACTACTACACTACTACTACTACTACTACTACTACTACTACTACTCTTACTACCTACTACTACTAACTACTACTACTACTACTACTACTACTACTAGTAAATCTGTAGCATCCCTCAGTCCCTCCTGAGACACTGGGATCCATTTCCACACTTAGCCAATCAATTGCCATGAAGGTGAGAATGAGAGCGTCCACATAGTAAAACGAAGCTACCTGCCTGCACAGACCGATGAAGCTCCAAGACATGCAACTATGAATGACTGCTCTCATCATTTACAGTAAAGGCAAGGAAGGAAAAGATAGCATCCCGGATGCAAAGGGAGAGGAAGGTTGAATCCCAAATGGCATCGAACTCCCTTTACAGTGCAGTACTTTTCGACCAGGGCCCATAGGACTCTGGTCAAAGGTAATGCACTATATAGGGAATAGGGTGCCATTTGGGACATGAGCTAATAAATCACTCAAAAGGTCATGACGATTTCACAAAACACACAAACGACAAAAACATTACAGTAAATGTACAGCATCTCCAAAACAACGGACGTCAACGGCTCGTATGGAGCTGGTGGAGTGCAAAGCCAATTTTAAAAAGTGCTTTAAAAAACGGTGTGCTTTGGTTTGACCCAGGAGGTCAAACAAAAAAAATCAGAACCGTCCATCCAGAACAGTCTAGCTTCTGTGATATTATACAGCTATATGGCTGCGTCCCAAATGCCAACCATCCGGGGTCTGGTCAAAATTAGTGCACTATATAGAGAATATGGTTCCATTTACTTACAGTGGTCTAATGACAACCTGGGACTGGTTTCTGAATCTAAACCAGTAAGGCTAAAGCATAGAGATCAGAGGGGGGGGGGGGGGGGGGGGGGGTCTATGTCATAAACTCTCACATTTTCAGAATAGGCTGAAAATGGCTGCAATATTGGTCAGGGAGAAATCCAAACCAGTCTAACTGGAATGAATGGCAGTAGAGGCAGAATCCTGATTTAATTTATACAGGAAAATAAAAGGAAGGCATGTGATATCAGAAATGTCTAATATAATTGTCAACCTAAAATAGTCAATTATAAATACAGTTGGGTTTTATTTTTTCGATATAGCCTCTATAATATATGTAAACAGAACATAAATGTTGTTTTCTTGGAAAACTGAGTGCCATTATGATACAATATCAGTAGCCAACTTGTTGCATTTCCAACCAGTCCAACCAGCCAGTGTATGGCTGTGGATTGACTGCATTGCTTGAATGGAATGTTGGCATATTGACAGTTAATTTGACAAATTAATGGAATCATTCCTCTAAAACTGTCTGGTTTTTAGCCAACAAACATACAGTGCAGACAAATTCTTCCAATTCATTATTTTACACAATATCTTATCACAGCACTGGCTAACCATGGTTGACCAACTCCCTGACCAAAATGGCTGACAACCTTCATACCATCATAAGAAGGTTCATGTCCATTCTAGTATTATAATTCCTAATTCTATGGGCTGAAGCACATGAATGTCGTATAGGATAAATGTAGTTCTCCAATCACAGTAGTTTACCAACTCCTGTACAATGTAACATGCATTCTTCTGTTCTGACTGAGGATAAGCAATATTGCCATCACACACACACACACACACACGCTTACGCAGACACACACACACTGATCAGCAGTAGGGTAGGTAGGAGCTCTGACCGTGTGAGCCACCAGTAGGTATCTGATCTATAGCCCACGCTCCCCTCTTTCCTTCCCTGCATGGACATGGTGTCTGTCTATCCTGTCCACTGACCATGCCTCTAAGCTGGGCCCACACTCTCCCCTCTTATGGATGGGTGGTTCTCCGTACGTTAAATGTTGAACAGGGAAAGTGTTTGCATCTTTCCTTTCTTTCTCTCAGTCCCGCTTCTCTTCCGCCTCTCCCAACATGCACCTCTTCCTCCGTGGTCTGGGGTTCAGAGAGGAGAAGAGGGCGGGACTCCACCATGGATGGCAGGCCTTGCATTACTTCTTCCTCAGCCCATTGGTGGATTTGTTCTTCCCTGAGCTCCGCCCCCGCCGCCGGGTGGGAGGAGTCTCACCCTCAGAATGCAGTTCTCCTGCAAGGTTTAAGTTTAGGATTAGGTTTAGATTTATTAGAACATCATCTTGGTACATACGCAGAAACACAGAAAATGTGATGTCATACAATATAAAAACAGGTCTAAAGATATGGTCTGCGTCCCAAATGGCACCCTATTCCCTATACAGTGCACCACTTTTAACCAGAGCCCTTTGGGTAGCGCACTATATAGGGAAGAGGATGCCATTTGAGACGCAGCCAAGACGTCTAAATATACGGACAGAGCACCATCATAAAGTCACACGCAACAAACAGGCATAGCCAAAGAACAGAGTGAGTGAGGGAAAGATTCTCATTGTTTTAATGTTCATATTGTGTCTGTGTTGAACAATTTGACATCTCTAATGGATGACACATTTTGATGGATGAACATAGTTGAAAGTAGAGGTGTTTCCATTGGATTGCTGGGTAAGACAGGCAAGTACCCCAATCAAACCACTAGAGGTCAGACTACTACCAAACTATAGTTACACTCAACCCTCCCAGTCTCAGATTGGATGAAACTCAAGTTTCCCAACAATGGGAGGCATAAATAACTAAATGGCATATTATATTAATAATCATCTGCATGTGTTTGACTGTAGAGGAGGAATAGTGCCACCATAGTTACCTTTACATTGTTCTGACACAAAGTCCTCATTGTAGTTGCTGTCCTCACATTCAGAGTAGCTCTGTAAAACACAGGAGGGGGTCAGAACAGACATGTCATGAACATATGGCTGTGAGAACGATACACAGCCAACAGCCAGCTGATCCAGCCACAGGCAAGAGGCTACGTCCCAAATGGCATCCTCCCCCCTATACTGTATAGTGCACTAGGGTCCTGGTGAAAAGTAGTGCACTAGGCTATATAGGGAATAGGGTGCCATTTGGAACGTAGCCAAAGTAATTGGAGTGAATACAAGGTAAACAATCTACAGAGGAAGAGCTGTGACATGTCATATTCTCTACAGATGAACAAGGCTAAACTACAGTCAGCTAGTTTATGTTGTAACTCTAAAACACAGGTGTGGAAACTGCCATTCACAGCATGGTAAAATGAGGGTTAAACGACCTTCTACACAAATCATGGTTTCTGTAGAAAACCCTTTCAGTTGGCCATGAGTACTTCTCAGAGCCCCTCTCGCTCAGAGCCCCTCTCGCTCAGAGCCCCTCTCTGGCCCTAGGACTTAAGGCTGCAGCATGCTTCGGTTCGGCTGGCGCCTAGCCGAGACTTACACTTGAAAAACAAGAAAAAAGCGGCAACAGTACTGTTTGTCCTACTTGAGATGCCGTAGCAAGATGCCTGAAAATAGTCCAAATTAATCTAAGATGACTCAATAAATCCGTAATAAATGTTAACGTTTTTGCAGAGGAGTTCTTAAATCATGTAATTAAGCAAACTAAGATGCACAAATATCCCCCCCCAAATAAAAATGCTAACCCCCTGTCTGTTATTGTAATGGTGCGAGGTTAGCATGCCTTGGGGGTATTTTTTAAAATTATTTTTAAATTTTACCTTTATTTAACTAGGCAAGTCAGTTAAGAACATATTCTTATTTACAATGACGGCCTACACCGGCCAAACCCGGACGACGCTGGGCCAATTGTGCGCTGCCCTATGGGTCTCCCAATCACGGCTGGTTGTGATACAGCCTGGAATCGAACCAGGGGGCCTGTAGTGACGCCTCTAGTACTGAGATGCAGTGCCTTAGACCCTGTGCCACTCGGGCGTCTGGAACTTTCTCACTCATCATTATTTTTTTCGATTCATTCAGGATTATCCATAATCATGGTAGCATCCACATTAATGTAGAAGTGTTTAGAAACATATTCTATTCTTATTTACAATAATAGTGGCACAGAATAATCTGAAACACAACCAAAACAAACAGCAAATATATCCAACCAATTTGTAGAGTCACAATAAAAATAATAATAAATAATAATAAGCCATTTAGCAGACGCTTTTATCCAAAGCGACTTACAGTCATGTGTGCATACATTTTTACAAGCTTGATGTGGTCATTGCGTGCTGTGAATACAGGACCAAATGCTCAACTTTGGACTACTTTAATAAACATAAGTGAATTTGTCCCAATACTTTTGTTCCCCTAAAATGGGGGGGGGGACTATGTACAAAAAGAGCTGTAATTTCTAAACGGTTCACCCGATATCAATGAAAATACCCTCAAATTAAAGCTGACAGTCTGCACTTTAACCTCATAGTCATTGTATCATTTCAAAATCCAAAGCACTGCAGTACAGAGCCAAAACAACAACAAATGTGTCACTGTCCCAATACTTTTGGAGCTCACCATTTTTTTATATTCCAATCCAGGAAACCACTACAACACTTTCACGTCCACTACTAGTCTCCTCTTCCTGTTTGCCATGTGTGGTAATGTAACATGTCGGTCTGGTGTGTGGTAATAAAGTGTGAATTGTATCCCCGTCTCCCGCTGGTCATTCTACGTCCTCTAACAGGGACACCGGGACAGTTCCACCTACAATACATCTAAACAGGCACCTCTATCAGAGTCCACCAGTTGGTGGTGCTCTTTTTCAGTTTCTACAGAATATAGAGCTGCTGAACAATGACAACTAGAAGACACTACTAATGCCTGTCATGGCCTGGGTTATTCACAGTTCCAGGGAGATGTGTTCTAAATGGCCTGGGACAGTCACAGTTCCAGGGAGATGTGTTCTAAATGGCCTGGGACAGTCACAGTTCCAGGGAGATGTGTTCTAAATGGCCTGGGACAGTCACAGTTCCAGGGAGATGTGTTCTAAATGGCCTGGGACAGTCACAGTTCCAGGGAGATGTGTTCTAAATGGCCTAGGACAGTCACAGTTCCAGGGAGATGTGTTCTAAATGGCCTGGGACAGTCACAGTTCCAGGGAGATGTGTTCTACATGGCCTGGGACAGTCACAGTTCCAGGGAGATGTGTTCTAAATGGCCTGGGACAGTCACAGTTCCAGGGAGATGTGTTCTACATGGCCTGGGACAGTCACAGTTCCAGGGAGATGTGTTCTAAATGGCCTGGGACAGTCACAGTTCCAGGGAGATGTGTTCTAAATGGCCTGGGACAGTCACAGTTCCAGGGAGATGTGTTCTACATGGCCTGGGACAGTCACAGTTCCAGGGAGATGTGTTCTACATGGCCTGGGACAGTCACAGTTCCAGGGAGATGTGTTCTACATGGCCTGGGACAGTCACAGTTCCAGGGAGATGTGTTCTACATGGCCTGGGACAGTCACAGTTCCAGGGAGATGTGTTCTACATGGCCTGGGACAGTCACAGTTCCAGGGAGATGTGTTCTAAGTGATAATAATGATGAATAAAGGTGCATGTATACAGAGAATGGTTGCAGCAGGACCATACTGTAGTCAAGGAAGTGTAGTGCATATCTAGACTGGTATGTAGGCATACCTTCTCTTTGGGACCATAGATCTCTGCATACCACACCATCCCATACAGACACAGGAATGTGATTATGGCCTGGGAGGAGAAGAGACAGAGTTAAGGCCACAGTAAGTTCAAGGTCAACTTTCAGCTTTATCGTCCTAGAGGGAAATTGGTTTTGAAACAACAGTCAAACATAAAATACAATTTTTTACATTGACAATAACTATATAAGTGAATACATAGCGGGGGTACTGAATGCAATGGACTGAATACACCACAGTCAAGTAGTCCCTAATAGAATCAACATGTCAGCCACAAAATGAAAAGCCTTTCAGCTGCAAACACATTGACATTCCATAGATAAAGTTGTAGCCTAAGACAAACACAGTACTGAAGACTTATCCTTTCACCATCTAATGTCAAATACTAGGAGAACTACAGCATTGGTAGGTTGGTCCAACAGTCATGTGCTCTTACCAATGACTAAGCTATTTATGGTACATTAACTATGACTATAAAAGGGACTGGTCTGCTAACATAAATAGTGATATATACTTTTATTACATGACAACTGTGAAATACATTTATGGCATGGCAACTTTTACTCAACCTTTATCTAACCAGAAAGTCCCATTGAGACCAGATGATCCTCTTTCACAAGAGACCTGGACAACAGTTTGGAGACCGGTTTGTTTATGTACATAGTAAAAATAATTTTGTGACATGAGAGCTGTGTGAAGACCGTTCTTACCACACACACAAGCCACACCAGCACATAGAGGACCTGGGTCTTGGAGAACAGCTCCATTCCAAACTTTATACACGCCAAGGCCTCCAGGAACGCTATGGCCCTGTGATGTCAGAGACACACACACAAACAGAGAGGTCACACACTACAGCTAAGGCTGCTGGGTAATCAGCCAGCTATAAGTGTGTCCCAAATGGCTCCCTATTCCCTCCATAGTGCACAACTTGTTCAAAAGTAGTGCACTATAAAGGGAATAGGGTACCATTTGGGATGCATCCCATGTCACCTGTCACCCGGCTGGGTGGGGACATGACAGAGTGAGGGAGAGGAGGGTGACAGGGGTGAGAGAGAGAGAGAGAGAGAGACACTGGGGTAAGCTGAGGCCCATGGATACAGCATACCAGTTCCTTATCTACATGGTCAGATGTTAACATTGACGACAGCCTTTACTCTACTGGGAGCTAGAGGGAATAAGTAAGATATTCAGATCACCACTAAGCGCTAACCAAAATAAACATACTGAGAACAGTAGACATGCCCCAAGCACAATGGAAACCTGGATAGACAGCATTTTAAATGGGATATACTGGGCAGTGGGAAAAATCACATTTCACAAATGTTCTGTCTACAAAAGATTCTACGATCTCTTATTTCCTTAAACATGGAAAACACTAGAATATCCACAGAGGGTCGTGCGTACGGCCCAGTACATCACTGGGGCCAAGCTTCCTGCCATCCAGGACCTCTATACTAGGCGGTGTCAGAGGAAGGCCCAAAAAATTGTCAAAGACTCCAGCCACCCTAGTCATAGACTGTTCTCTCTGCTACCGCACGGCAAGCGGTACCGGAGCGCCAAGTCTAGGTCCAAAAGGCTCCTTAACAGCTTCTACCCCCAAGCCATAAGACTGCTGAACAATTAATAAAATGTCCACCCGGACTATTTACATTGACCAACCCCCCCCCCCCCCCCCCCCCCCCCCCCCCTCCCCTCCCCTCCCCTTTGTTTTTACACTGCTGCTACTCGCTGTTTATTATCTATGCATAGTCACTTTACCCCTACCTACATGTACAAACTACCTTCACTAACCTGTACCCCTGCACATTGACTCGGTACCGGTACCCAATGTATATAGCCTCGTTATTGTTATTTTATTGTATTACTTTTTATTGTATTTTTTACTTTAGTTTATTTAGTAAATATTTTCTTAACTCTATTTCTTGAACTGCATTGTTGGTTAAGGGCTTGTAAGTAAGCATTTCACGGTAAGGTCTACACCTGTTCTATTCCGTACATGTGACAAGTATCGATACAACATCAATAACACTCAGAATACACACATCTACTGACTCAGTGATTAGAGTATTATAGAGTGTTCTACCCTACACATTCCTACACCATGTGCCTTAGTAATGACTTTAATATGTCCAGTCTTTAATACTCAGGGTTTAGCTGAAGGATAATGGAGGCCATTGTTAAGTAGTGCTTCAATGCCAGGCTGTGTGTGTGTCTGTGTGTGTGTGTCTGTGTGTGTGTGTGTGTCTGTCTCTGTGTGTGTGTGTGTGTGTGTACAGCCCTATCCAACTACTGTGCCTCAGTCCTACATGATGTTGAAGAGCAGTTAACATTCACAACAACCTAGCCTCCATCTCCTGCCCCCAGCTCTTCACCCTCACACTGCTACAGTTTACATACAACTACACCGCCCAACAGCAGAAACCTGACTGTCAAAGAGCTCTGTTCAGTTGTTGACCAAAGGTAAATAATCTACCTGACAGTTAGCTATTGCAGCCGTGAATGTGTATTGTAGTTTATTGGTGTACATGGGAGAGATCAGAGTATACAGCTTTATTTCCTTAAACATAATCTACTGTTGTCATGGTAGTAGCTAATGAAACAACACTCACCCAAACACCCAGCACTGTGTCCCAACCCGTTTACACTGTGTGTCTGTGAGGTAGGCATAATACTGCCTGAAACACACAGGGAGAAAAACAACAGAACAGGTCAGGACCAATACAGGATGTAAAGACAGACGTGAACCAGTTCACCACAGACACAGCACTGTCCTCTCATAGCCATTAACTCTAGACATGTTGAGATGGAAGAAGATCTCTGATGTTGTCCTGCTGTTGGACAAACTCTGATGGTATGACTGATTAGTTTTCCAAAGACTGGTTTGGAAAGGGTTAAGTAGAAGAGGAAGGGGGGCAGATTGGGAGAGGGGGGAACAGCGGAGAGGGGGGAGGGGAGGAACAGCGGAGAGAGGGGGGGGGGCAGAGGAGGGGGGGGACAGCGGAGAGGAACAGCGGAGAGAGGGGGGAGAAACAGCGGAGAGAGGAACAGCGGAGAGAGGGGGGAGGAACAGCGGAGAGAGGGGGGAGGAACAGCGGAGAGAGGGGGGAGGAACAGCGGAGAGGGAGTAGATCAGCCAAGGCGAGGGGTGAGTTTCCTACCTCACGGTGGGAGCTGTGATGATGCCGATGAAGAGGATTCGACACCAGCTGAGGGCGTGGCACGCCGGGAACACAAATATGTGCTTCAGGAAGAATGTGTTCAACTCTGTCAACTATGGAGAAACGGAGAGATGGAGCGTTATCACTGGAGTTCTCACCGACACCATCACGACAACAGAGACTGCAATCCCCACAGGGCTCTACAGGGCCACCATTTTACTCGCATACGAGCTTATATATTTTGCTGTGTGACCTGTCATTTTTATTTAGGAGCGGCTGTGCGCCTAGAAAAATAGGGGGAGAGAGGGGTAAGTAGAATACATAGCCTAGCTGTACAATACAAACCTGAACCATGTCAACGTTTGGACCCACCCACCCAGTTTGACCCTGTGCTCCTCATTATCCACAGTAGAGTATAATGAAGAGACTGGAACCAGACTTTCTCATTACGCTGTCATTTGGCCCTGAGCCTGTGTGTGTGTGTGTGTGTGTGTGTGTGTGTGTGTGTGTGTGTGTGTGTGTGTGTGTGTGTGTGTGTGTGTGTGTCTCATAGTGTAGAGGTAGTCTGTTATTTGGCCCTGAGCCTGTCTAGAGGCCCTCTGGAGAGAGAGCAGATAAACTGTAGCTACTGCTGAGTCTCCTGAGGCTCTACACTCCCCACTAACCCCTCTACTAACCCCTCTCCCCCTCTACTAACCCCTCTCCCCCTCTACTAACCCCTCTCCCCCTCTACTAACCCCTCTACTAACCCCTCTCCCCCTCTACTAACCCCTCTCCCCCTCTACTAACCCCTCTCCCCCTCTACTAACCCCTCTCCCCCTCTACTAACCCCTCTCCCCCTCTACTAACCCCTCTCCCCCTCTACTAACCCCTCTCCCCCTCTACTAACCCCTCTACTAACCCCTCTCCCCCTCTACTAACCCCTCTCCCCCTCTACTAACCCCTCTCCCCCTCTACTAACCTCTCCTAACCTCGCTCTCCCCCTACTAACCTCGCTCTCTCCCCACTCACTCACCCACCCCCCCACCCACCTCCCTCTCACTCAACCCTCGCTCTCCCCTCCCCGTACTCACTCAAACTATGTACCCTCCCCCCTACTCACCCACCCCTCTCCATGCTACTCTCTCAGACAGGGTAATTACTATTTTAAGCCCCCTAGAGTGTTGGGAACGGGAGACAGAGCGAGGGAGAGGAGAAAGACTATGCCATTTCACCACCACACAAAAAGCAGAGAAGCAGTGCAGCTTTTCATCGCCATGGCAGCCAGTATTGAGGATGAAGGGGGGGGTGAAGGAGTATTGGCAGCTATGGTGGGCTCTCTGGCTGGGACCTGGGGTGGTATTCATTAGGCAACAAACAGAAGACAACGGACTAAAACAGGGAGGGACTACCAAAACCTGTCCAACAACAAATGCTCCTTTTCATTTTCCATTGCAAAACTGTTGTGCTACGGTGTTCCCTAATGAATACAACCCTGGGTTAATGATGGAAAGCACTGGAGCTTATTCATCCACCCCACAGTGTGGTGCTGTCCCCAGTCCAGAAACTGTCCACCCAGTCACGTGTCATCCGGCTAGTCTTTCACTCTTTAAGTGATGAGTTGTTAGTATGGACACGCCAGGCAGAACTCCCCATATACCTAGTGCCAACTTCTAACCCCGGTCAGGTCAGGTCAGATAGATTTGGACCACGGCCCTAAAGTAGCGCACTACGTTTGAAACTAGGGAAATACCTGCCAGATGATCATAAAGAGGTAGACCCCAGTGACGCGCTGCAGGGAAGACTTGGGGTCAAACCAGCGGACGTAGGTCCAGCTAGCCGGGGTGAACTGGAGCGCAGCACGTTTGATCTTCCCTGTGGTGGTGTGGATGTCCCTGGACAGGTAGACACACACACACACACACACACCAGGGCAGAAGAGTTAAAAAGGCTTGTGGACAGACATACAATAAGATAAGTACTATGTTGCTATAGTAACACACAGCTAACTAGGATGAAAACAATGCCATTACATAAATAATTCAAGTCCACCTCGTTACCGAGCAACAGGCCTGATAATACTAAACTAAAGCTAAACTGTCAGTCGCTCTGGATAAGAGCATCTGATCAATGACTAAAATGTAAATGTAAAATGTGAGAACTCAATTTCCATACTGTTTTGTTTCTGAGAGGACCAACTCCATATTAATGCCCATGATTTTGGAATGAGATGTTCGATGAGCGGGTGTCCACATACTTATGGCCATCAAATCGGTCACATACACGTGTTTAGCAGATGTTATAGTGGGTGTAGCGAAATGCTTGTGACCATGTAGTGTTCCTGATGGAGGCCCAGTGATAGGGTTAGGAGGACCTACATGATGGAGGCCCAGTGATAGGGTTAGGAGGACATACCTGATGGAGGCCCAGTGATAGGGTTAGGAGGACCTACATGATGGAGGCCTAGTGATAGGGTTAGGAGGACATACCTGATGGAGGCCCAGTGATAGGGTTAGGAGGACCTACATGATGGAGGCCCAGTGATAGGGTTAGGAGGACATACCTGATGGAGGCCCAGTGATAGGGTTAGGAGGACCTACATGATGGAGGCCTAGTGATAGGGTTAGGAGGACATACCTGATGGAGGCCCAGTGATAGGGTTAGGAGGACCTACATGATGGAGGCCTAGTGATAGGGTTAGGAGGACATACCTGATGGAGGCCCAGTGATAGGGTTAGGAGGACCTACATGATGGAGGCCCAGTGATAGGGTTAGGAGGACATACCTGATGGAGGCCCAGTGATAGGGTTAGGAGGACCTACATGATGGAGGCCCAGTGATAGGGTTAGGAGGACATACCTGATGGAGGCCCAGTGATAGGGTTAGGAGGACCTACATTACATTTTACATTTTAGTCATTTAGCAGACGCTCTTATCCAGAGCGACTTACAGTTAGTGCATACATTATATATTTTTCCCCCTGTGGGAAACGAACCCACAACCCTGGCATTGCAAACGCCATGCTCTACCAACTGAGCTACATCCCCTGCCGGCCATTCCCTCCCCTACCCTGGACGACGCTGGGCCAATTGTGCGCCGCCCCATGGGTCTCCCGGTCGCGGCCAGCTACGACAGAGCCTGGATTCGAACCAGGATCTCTAGTGGCACAGCTAGCATTGCGATGCAGTGCCTTAGACCACTGTGCCACTCGGGAGAACGTGATGGAGGCCTAGTGGTAGGGTTAGGAGGACCTACCTGATGGAGGCCCAGTGGTAGGGTTAGGAGGACCTACCTGATGGAGGCCCAGTGGTAGGGTTAGGAGGACCTACCTGATGGAGGCCTAGTGGTAGGAATAGGAGGACCTACCTGATGGAGGCCCAGTGGTAGGGTTAGGAGGACCTACCTGATGGAGGCCCAGTGGTAGGGTTAGGGTGGGCTACTTGATACAGGCCAAGGGGTAGGGTTAGGATTATGGGTACCTACTTGATGGAGGCCCAGTGATAGGTCCTCATCTCCAGGAAGCGACAGACAGTCATGCCCATCCAGATGCCTCCTCCATTACACAGCAGGATGTCCAGGATCACCTGGTCCCACCAGCACTCAGCAAAGTTAGGCAGCAGGTGCATGAAGAACAGCTGAGGAGGAGAGGAGAGAAAAGGGGGAGAGGGAGAGGAATTAACTCCTTTTGTGTGTGTGTGTGTTCGTACGTGTGTGTGTGTGTGTGTGTGTGTGTGTTCGTGCGTACCTCAGTGAGCTCCCAGGTGATGCTGATGGTCCAACAGAGACCGTAGCTGCGGATGAGCAGGGCCTTCATGCCCCAGCCCCAGAAGTGACTGAAGGCAAAGATGTCCAAGTGGCTCAGGATTCGCTCCCAGGTGATCACGTGACAATTCACTGCATACTCCTACAAGCAGAGCACAGGGACCAGAGACGACATCAACAACATCCATTCAGAACAACAGCATGAGGAAGTGAGTGTTGGTGCTAGAAGAGGATCCCGTTTCTTCATCCTTTTCCCCCAAAGAGTAGACTTGAAGTATTGGCTGGAGGGAGTTTCACCATTGTTAAAAGGCATGACGGGAAGTGTGCAAGCGTGCACTTCAGGAGAACGGTGGAGAATCGGGAAGTAGCCGAGGTCAATGTGCTAACAAAGAGACTGATAGCTAAGAGATAAGAAACTGATAGTAAAGAAAGGTTGCGTCCCAAATGGAATTCTATTCCCCTATTATAGTGCACTAGTTTTGACCACGGCTCTAGTGAAAAGTAGTGCACTGTTTAGGGAATAGGGTGAGTTGGGATGCAGCCACAGAGACTGATAGGAGAGCAAGGCTGCTGTTTACTCACCATGATGTCAGCCTCCCGGGTGGCGTAGCGCAGGTTTGGGTCGAGCCAGTACATGACGTTCTTCACCTGCTCCCAGTTCAGAAAGATGATGAACACCAGGAACAGGAAGTATAGCACACTCAGACCTGACCAGAGAATAACAGAGAGATAACAGATTAGGCGGAATCTCATTCAATCAGGGCAGAATTGGATCCATCAATTTATAAAGCCCTTTTTACATCAACAGTTGTCACAAAATGGGCCTAAACCCCAAAAAGCAACCGAAGCAGAAGCACAGCGGCCAGGAAACAGGAAACACTCCCTAGAAGGAAGGAACCTATAAAGAAACCTAGAGAAAGCACCAACTCTCATGAATTGGGTGGATAATTAATGGTTAAGCTCATTCAAAGTTAACTGGAATGGTAGCTAGGCCTAAGCCTATACAAAAAAGGGATTGTTATATTTGTCACTTAAAATGTCACTCACCGAAAACTATTCGCCATATCGCCGGATGTGGTCTGGTAAATGGTCCTAGAGAGAGATGTCAAAAAATATTGAAATCAACAACTTCAGCCACACAGAAGAGTTCCAAGGCTGGTACAATGACATGTTGAGATGTCTGACACATACAACATTTTTATCTCAACATATTATTGTACCAGCCTTGTAAATAGTGCACAACCTTTTTACCAGGACCTAGTGTAACAGTTTTGCTTCGGTCTCTCTCCTCACCCCAACCTGGGCTTGAACCAGGGACCCTCTGAACACAGACAACAGTCACCCTCGAAGTATCATTACTTATGGCGCCACAAAAGCCGCGACCCTTGAAGAGCAAGGGAAACAACTACTTCAAATCTCAACGCGAGTGATGTCGGCAGGTAGCTTAGTGGTTAAGAGCGTTGTGTGCCAGTAACCGAAAGGTTGCTGGTTCTAATCCCAGAGCTGACTAGGTGAAAAATCAGTTGATGTGCCCTTAAGCAAGGTACTTATCCTGAGCGACTTACAGGAGCAATTAGGGTTAAGAGCGTCTGCTAAAAAATGACAAAAAAACAACAACATGTCACCGATTGAAACACTACTACCGCGCACCGCTAACTAGCGAGCCATTTCACACCGGTTACCCTAGCACCCTATTCCCTATATAGTGCACTACTTTCGACCAGAGCCCATTTACCACAGCCCAGGTCAAAAGTAGTGCACTATATAGGGAATAGGGTGCCATTGATGTCCGAAGCAGCTTGGACATTTACGTCATTTATCCAGAGCGACTTACAAATTGGACAACATTGTCCTTACCGTTAGGGAAGGCCAGAACACTGATGACCAGGAAGAAGGAGATGGTCAGGATGAGGCCCACCCACAAGTTAGCGTCTTCGTTTGTCTCGTCCCTAAATAACAAGAGGCAGGGATTACTAACGCACACCAAAACCAGCATTAAGACATTTCAGAGTCAGTGAGATAAAAACAGTTATAAAACTGATGCACTGATGGGACAGGTGGCTTTGAAACGCAAATTCTATTCCACCTCTGTCCCCACATAGCCTGCTATACTGTGCTCTCCTTCAATCACAGTTATTAAAGATCAGTGAGAGGACTGAGATGATTAATTCACTCATCAGTGCCGATTGACCTACTCCTGACACCCCCCACTCCATTTGGTTATTGGGGATAAACCACTCTTGATGAGAGCAGCAGATAAGGGATTTGTCCCAAATGGCACCCCATTCCATATAGTGCAATACTTTTGACCAGGGCGCTATAAAAGAATAGGATGCCATTTGGGCACAGACAAGCTGTGCATCACGGACTGCATTCAGTACGCAAAAACGTAGTGGAAACGGTGCAGTACGAACGACCAATTGAAAACGGGAGGGGTTGGGTTGTGAGTTCAAAATGCACTGCTCTCCTTTAAATACGTCACTCATTGCTTCAACCACAGCCTGCCACACCCAACAAACTTCGCAAAAGTACCTCAAAGACTGTTCAATAACGTTCAATGCAAACTGTTCCGCAACGTAGCAATTGTTTATTCGAACTGAACACACCCATGATGTAGGAAATGGCTAGATGCATGTTGCAGATAACAATGGACCACCAGGATGGGAGATCCTTCCCCACAGTATAGAAAAGATACAAACGTGGCACTTTGCCACAATGTAGCTACAAAAAGCAAATAAAATCAGCCCACTTGCTACATTGTAAACACGCAAATGAAACATTCTCCTTCATTCGAGAGAAAAGAGGAGCCAGCTGGTCAGTCCTGCACCAGATAACTTAAACTAGCTAGGTAGTTAACTACATGTCGTTAGTTAGCTAGCTACTTAATCGAAAAACCTTAGTTACACATGTCAATGTTCGGAAATACTAGCGAGCTAAATTACTTTTCAACTGCATAAACATTCACTTAGCTGCTCTGGCAGTTGGCCTAGTCAGTAACGTTAGCCAAAAGAGCATATAGCTAGCTAATGTTAACTACCGGTAGTCAGCTGGCTAGCCACTTCACTTACCTTGTAAATGCGAAATACATCAAGCTGAGCACTGTGCATGTTAACAGTGTTATTGTGTGCGGCTTATAGAAAAAGTCCAGAGTAATATCCTCCACTTGCTGCTCGTTGATCATACGGAAATGCATCCTGTAGTTCACATCATCTTTGCCTATGGTCCGCGACCCGTACCTATATCCGGACGCCATAATTGCGGGAGGGCTCCAGAGGAATCCGCTTCACCTCCTGCGGGCTGCTTTAGATCGACATTAGACGTTCAGCGCAATTAACGATTAATGTTGTCCATCAATAAAGACCAAAACGACCAGACGCACGTCCGTTAAATATGTGTAAAGACCAAAACGAAAAGACGCACGTCCGTTAAATATGTGCGCAACAGCACAACCTAAAGAAAAACAGTGTCAAGCATGAACTGCTGCCTTCTTGCGAGGGCGAACATCACGGGTTACATTTACTGAACGTTTTAGCGGAAAATAAACTCTGCATTTTTGATTGGTTTATACGTCTAGGGGAGTGCCACAATGGAAACCCAAAGGGGTCAGTTTATGAGATCAATCACGTGCTATCTTTCTCAACGTTTGTAAACCACCAAGGCAAACCCACATAAATAGAATGGATTATATTTCTATGGGCAAACCAAGGTCAGTTCCACACCGCGTGAGGTTATTTACGTTCATGTCACAGGAGGGTAAAAAAGTCATGTAAATATTTTCTAACCACAAGCATTGATGTCATGAGTGTCCTAACCTACATTATTCCCAAGTACATTAGTTATCTGAGAAGTGGGAGAGATCATCATCAAATCACCATTAGTAAAATTGATATCATTATCATTATCTGTTAGGGCTTCACATAATGTATGAAAAACCGTCAGTATGGGCAGTATAATAATAGAATATAACAGAACAGAAGAGAATATAACAACGTTATTCTACTGTCCACTAGGTCTGGGAATTGCCAGGGACCTCACGATACGATTTTATCACGATACTTTGGTGCGGATACGATATGTATTGCGATTCTCATGGTTCTATATGTATTGAGATTCGATACTGTGATTTTATTGCAATTCGATGTTCCAAACATACTGCTCTAATAAAAAGCATGAGCTGTCGCACACCCCAGAGAACATTTTTAGTGTAGAGGTGCTGACTAACGGGGAGTAAACTGTAAGCTATAAAAATAAATAAAGAGAGTCCACACTCTATATATAAACTCCCAGTCATTTATTGGGTAAAACACCAACGTTTCGGTCACCCTGAAGACGGCACAGTGATGCAGAAACGTTGGTGTTTTACCCAATAAATTATACTGGGAGTTTATATATAGAGGGTGGACTCTCTTTATTTATTTTTATACCAAACATATTGCTCACCATTATGTCTGCTGCAGAGGGACAAGAGAGAACCATGAGAAAACAAGTTTTGATAAGTCATGGAAATAAAAGTGCTGAAAACAAATTGGCTCCCTGTTTAAAAAGAAGATGGGGAACAAGCTATGAAGGGTAAATACTGGAGTTTTGGTGCAGGTACAGCCAACTAGCGCAAAAATAATGTTGCGAAAATGTCAAAACGATACGATATATTGTCAAAAATAATATCCTGATATGTAACTGTATCGATTATTTCCCCCATCACTGTCAACTTGACTAATGGTATCTTGTTTACCAACTAAACATAATAATGACTGTATTGCCCCACAGTCTGGTATTTTGCAGATAGCCTAATGTTATCTATTTCTGTGCCTCTGACACCCTCAAGTGGTGACTTTTAGGGCTTGATAAAGCCTATCAGAAACAAAATCGTCTCAGCCCAGTCAAAGCACTTCTCTATCCTGGCACACCAATGGTGGAACCAGCTTCCCCTTGAATTTAGGACAGCAGAGTCCCTGCCCATCTTCCGAAAACATCTGAAACCCTATCACTTCAAAGAGTATCTTAAATAATCCCACAGAAAGTAGACTGAACCAGGTTTTTCTAGGAGTTTGCCTTTGCTTAGCTCCATTCCATTTATTTTTTATCCTGAAAAACTCCCCAGTCCTTAACGATTACAAGCATACCCATTACCTGTGTAGCTCAGTTGGTAGAGCATGGCGTTTGCAACGCCAGGGTTGTGGGTTCGATTCCCACGGGGGTCCAGTATGAAAATATATGCACTCACTAACTGTAAATCGCTCTGGATAAGAGCGTCTGCTAAATGACTGAAATGTAAATAACATGATGCAGCCACCACTATGCTTGAAAATATGGAGAGTGGTACTCAGTAATGTGTTTTATTGGATTTCGCCCCAACCATAACACTTTGTATTCAGGACAAAAAGTTAATTACTTTGCCAATTTTTTTGCAAAATCACAAACAGCATGCATGTATGTTTTGGAATGTTTTTATTCTGTACAGGCTTCCTTCTTTTTACAAAGGGGTTGAATACTTATTGACTCAAGACATTACAGCTTTTAATTTTTAATTAATTAATTAAGAAAAACTTAATTCCACTTTGACATTATAGGGTATTGTGTGTAGGCCTGTGAAAAAACATCTACATTTAATCCATTTTAAATTCAAGTTGTAACAAAACAAAACGTGGAAAAACTCAAGGGGTCTGAATACCTTCTGAAGGCACTGTATCTTAATGTGAATGCACTAACTGTAAGTCGCTCTGGATAAGGGCGTCTGCTAAATAACTAAAATGTAAATGTAGTCTACTGCACTCTTCAAATATATAATTTATAGACATCAAATGAACTGACTGAACATCAAGTTTGCATTAATAAATAGATTTGATCACTGCTTAAGTTGTAAATCGGGAGTTGCATGAACAAAAAGTGAGCGCGAGAGAGCTCACTAGGGGGCTCTGAGGTACCGGAACAGATGAAAAAAAACAACAACATTATAGAAAAGCAGTGCATGCATGTCATCGCATTTGCGTAGTGGCATAAAGTAGTAGAGTAGAGGAGCTTGTATAAATTGCATACATGGGGAAATCTTTTTGTACTTTGATCCGGGAAGAATTTGACCTTTTGTACACACATTTCATGCAATTCTATGTCATTTTAATGACTGCAGACTTTAGCAGAATCGTTTTTAATACCATACAAACGATCGAAATGACAGGCTACTTTGACACTGACAAACTGAGAATCTGAGATCTATAAAAACGACCTAGTCTTGAATCCATCAATAGCCTAGGCCTAGGTGTGTGGAAACAGGTGACATATTGTACATTATAAACTGGGTGGTTCGAGCCCTGAATGCTGATTGGCTGACAGCCATGGTATATCAGAAGATATTACCACTGGTACAACAAAACATTTATTTTAATTGCTGTAATTATGTTGGTAACCTGTTTATAATAGCAATAAGGCACCTCAGGGGCTTCCACAGCTAAAGGCTGTGTCCAGACACTCCCCGTTGTGTCGTGCTTAAGAACAGCCCTTAGTCATGGTATATTGGCCATATACCACACCCCCTCAGGGTTTATTGCTTAAATATGACGAGGAAATGATAGTCCTAGAAAAGCTTTCCACTTTCTTGGACTCACCCAATGATGTACAGCTCACTTGCCAATGATGGCTGATACTCTCCTCATGTGCCAAAAACCTAACTCTCTTGTTTTACTTTGTAAAACAATGTTCGCTCAATAGGCCTATTGGAAGTTGATCAAATATTTTGGTAGCCTACAATCAGATTAGAGTCTTCTCTTTTAAGCAGGAGCCATTTACTTTCCAACCTGTGTTTTTCCGCGCAATTGTATTTGAAATATTACAAAAAGCTTGTTCTGGCTGCATGCTGTTCACTGACAGATTTGGCGCGTTCTGGGGCTATAGCCTATGCCTTGTGATTGGGCTACATAAACACAGTCCACAGCTAGGCTCTTTTTTTCAAATAAGCTATTTGTCCTCTGTGGCTAAATTATAGGCTCACTCCTGGTGTAGTGTTCTGAATTATTTAATTTATTTCTGAACAGACAGCAGTAATTCTATAACTTTGGCAAATGTATTTCAATTAATCAGGGGTGATGCAGTTCGTTCAGAACCCTTCGCGGGGCTATGATGAAGTGCAACACTGGAGAGATGAGAGTTGCAGGCTCATGTCTAGCAGACAGAGGGAGAGAGATCATAGAAAGTGAATCTCATTCTAGTTCTGAGAGAGATACAGGCGCGTTCCTCTCTCTCACCACAGCAATGGCCACGCGTTGGTCTCAAACATTGGCTATAATGTTGCGCAAACCATGCGCCGCCTGAAAATCTACGTTTTCACATAACGTTTTTTAAAGGGAGGGCAGGAGAATTAATGAGGAGTAAACTAGAATGAACTCTGATCACTTTTATTAGAATTTTTTACATTGCAAACAGTGAGAGGTACCGGATGTAGCGGGACAGGATCCGGCCAAATAGGTTCCTGAACAAAACAGTCAAAAACGGAGAGGTGCCAGATCCTGTTCCGTCAGGATCCGGCTCAAATTAAGCACTGGATTTGATCATTTACAAGTGAAGTGAGGGCTGTTTTTGAGTTGTTTTGAAACTTCTCTTTTGTGGAACCTCACATGCACCCTGCAAACTCACCAGAGGCCTGAGTGTTGCGCTTCTCAGGCGCCACTCCGGGTAGTGTGGTGTACGTGACAAAGCATCAGCACATCAAGCCTAGACCCTAGACCTCTGTTAAAACAAACCTCAACTATGTTGAAATAAATAGTTCCTCTCTGAGATCTAATTTACTTCTCAGTCTCACCTAAATATAAATGCCGTAAAATATATACTGTATATTCAATTAAAAATCATATAAATCATTGTATTTTTTTATCTTGCAATTCATTGGTCATCATTTGTAATTTAATAAGTCCTATGTTTTGGTATATTACCTAAGACTTGGTTGGAAAATATTCTGTAGGCTTTGGTGCATAAAGTATAGCTGTATTATTATGACAATGTGATCAGGAAGGCAGGGAATTACAGGTCTATTGTAAAAATAAATAAATAAAGACATTAAACTTTAAACTCATTTTAATCAGATACAAGTCAAATTAAAATATAGGCTACATTTTAAAATGTAATATTGCATAATGCAATTGTAAGTAGAAAATCTGTCATGATAGTAACTTTTCTCTTTGACAAATTGCTACAACAATTGAATGCAACGTTGTTACTATTTCCCAGAGGTTATATGTATAGTGAAAACTTAGTAGAACCCTTATTTCGAAATTATATTCTGTATTTATTTTCCTTATTTACACTTTTGAGACAGTGCCAGTATATCACTCTATTGCAATGGTTAGAATGATGCAAAATACGAATATACACACTACATAATACGTCATCAACACTACATAATATGTAATCACCATTACATCAGATGTAATCACTACTACATCATAGGTAATCACTACTACATCATATGTAATCACTATTGCATCATAGGTAATCACTACTACATCATAGGTAATCACTACTACATCATAGGTAATCACTACTACATCATAGGTAATCACTACTACATCCTAATAACATATACAGAGTGAAGACTATCTGTATCCACTATAAATTGCCACAAGTAAAACAAATGTCATACAAGTTGAATAATTATTTCACTTAGTTGTTTGTTGTTTGTTGAGCTCTTGCCAGTCGTCCAGATTCATACTTCCTGCTTCAGGGTGACTATGGGCTGGAAATAAAAATTGCAACCATCTTATTTTATTTCTGTAACCATACAGGAAGTCATCATTGAGACCCATGTGTCTTTATTGAGTGAGCCCTGCAAGGAATGTGTTGTTTGGTTATGTAGTGTGTGTACTCAGTAAATACACTTGTCACTATATAAGAAGTATATTAAAGCTACAAGGCCTGAGGGGGTGTGGTATATGGCCAATATACCACGGCTAAGGGCTGTTCTTATGCACGACGCAACGCAGAGTACAGCCTGGATACAGCCCGAGCCATGGTATATTGGCCATATACCAGAAACCCCTGAGGTGCCTTATTGCTATTATAAACTGGTTACCAACGTAATTAGAACAGTAAAAAATGTTGTCATACCTGTGGTATAGATATACCACGGCTTTCAGCCATTCAGCATTCAAACCACCCAGTTTATAAATATAATTATATGTACATTCCATGTTCAGACCAGTCAGTATAATAAACATAGAGTCTCACCAGAATGTTCAGCCCAGTCAGTATAATAAACATAGAGTCTCACCAGAATGTTCAGCCCAGTCAGTATAATAAACATAGTCTCACCAGAATGTTCAGCCCAGTCAGTATAATAAACAGTATAGTCTCACCAGAATGTTCAGCCCAGTCAGTATAATAAACATAGAGTCTCACCAGAATGTTCAGCCCAGTCAGTATAATAAACAGTAGAGTCTCACCAGAATGTTCAGCCCAGTCAGTATAATAAACAGTAGAGTCTCACCAGAATGTTCAGCCCAGTCAGTATAATAAACATAGAGTCTCACCAGAATGTTCAGCCCAGTCAGTATAATAAACATAGTCTCACCAGAATGTTCAGCCCAGTCAGTATAATAAACAGTAGAGTCTCACCAGAATGTTCAGCCCAGTCAGTATAATAAACATAGAGTCTCACCAGAATGTTCAGCCCAGTCAGTATTATAAACATAGTCTCACCAGAATGTTCAGCCCAGTCAGTATAATAAACAGTAGAGTCTCACCAGAATGTTCAGCCCAGTCAGTATAATAAACATAGAGTCTCACCAGAATGTTCAGCCCAGTCAGTATAATAAACATAGAGTCTCACCAGAATGTTCAGCCCAGTCAGTATAATAAACATAGAGTCTCACCAGAATGTTCAGCCCAGTCAGTATAATAAACATAGAGTCTCACCAGAATGTTCAGCCCAGTCAGTATAATAAACATAGTCTCACCAGAATGTTCAGCCCAGTCAGTATAATAAACAGTAGAGTCTCACCAGAATGTTCAGCCCAGTCAGTATAATAAACAGTAGAGTCTCACCAGAATGTTCAGCCCAGTCGGTATAATAAACATAGAGACTCACCAGAATGTTCAGCCCAGTCAGTATAATAAACATAGAGTCTCACCAGAATATTGAAGTGCTGTCTGCACACTGCTTTGCTCTCCCAGTAGATCACCACCATGGCAACAACCAGTTCAATGACCAGGAGAACTGCAACAATCCATTTGATTCCATCAAATGCCTGACAAACAAAGTCAAGAGAATAGTAACTTAATACATTGTACATAACTACATGTTTCTTTCTGGTTTCATTTTATGTTGATAAGCTATTGTGGTTTGGTATTTTGTTTGTGGAGAACATTCACACAGAATTACAAAGCAAACAAACAATTCAATATCCGTATTGTGTGATCTGATTTGAATGCTTGTACTATTCCACCTCATTAACAAATCAATGCTAATTAATTAACTAATTGTAATAACCAGTGCTAATTAATTTACTAATTGGAATAACCAAACAATTAAGTAATTAACTCTGGGACCTCTGGATGGTCCACTGGGGAATCATCATAGACATGGCGAGTGCAGAGAACGACAGCAGCCGCTGTCCAGAAACAGCTGATGATGTTCAAGGAAAATGACAGTTTGACCTGTTGATAGGGGAGAAAAACACAGAATCACCTCACTATACAATTGGTATGTTTATGATATATTTGAGGTGTAATATTTTCATAATAATGTATAATAATTTAAATCATCTACAATTATTTCATATTTGATCCATGACTGAATTTAGATACGTTTGGAAAGCTTGAACTTACCACACACATATTTGGAGAGTGACCTGCAGCATAGGTCAGCATTCCGGCAGCAACATACTTTATAAAACAAACATGTATTTATTTCCTTCATTATTTGAGAGACTGATTACAAATTCAATCAACAGTAAGTGTATGATCCTCACTGTAGAGTACACACTTCACACACAATGTACACTGACAACAAGAGAGAATAACAGATAGAGCTGAGGCAAAGCTTTGGTCCAACATCAGCTGTATCAACATATGTCTAATCCAATAAATGATGATAACATGAACAACTTTGTGGGCGGATTGCAGTGGTTCTTACCAGGACACTGGGCATGGTGTAGAACAGAACGAATGGGCTGTGCTGGACAAGCAGTAGCCCCAGAATCAAGACTAGGACTCCAGCAATGAGCTGAGCCGCCTGAAAACAAGAAGAAGATGTAATTAGACTAACAGACAGGACGGTTTCCTGGACACAGATTAAGCCTAGTCCTGGACAAAAAAACACCCACCCTGTATCTGGGAAACCGGCCCCTACATGAACATTTATCAAATGTTCAACGTAACTTCTGCTCATCATGAATGTATTTTAGATAACCCACAGATTAGCCTGCCTGAAATAAATGTATATTCGGCTGTAGAGGAACGTTTGCCATTCGTACCCCAAGAGCTTTGGGCTGACCCTTGAGGAAGACCTTGTAGACGTCTTTGAAGACACAGTGGAACGTCTCAGGCATCAGCTGGCCCTCCTGAGCGTCTCTGAGACTGCCCAGAGGTATGGTGATGACCATGCACTCATCTGACTGAAATGTGTACTTCATTTACCTGGGAACAATACATTTCATTACAGGAAGAAAAAATAATCTACTGTATAGTAATCATCTCCAGCACCAACGCAACATCAACATATGTGAAAATGGTGCATTTCCATGTTTTGTAGTAAAGAATATAGAGGAAGATAAGTGTTTCCAATGACATCTTCAACTAATTAGTAAACAATTAGTAGGTAATTAGTAGGCAATGCCTCCTCATAATTGGTCAAAATCACACGATGCGCAACAGTGATGTCATTGGAAACACTTATCTTTCTCTATCTTTTTAAAATCTTAATCGAAAAACATAGAAATGCACAATTTTCACATACATTGATGTTGGGGTGGTGCTGGAGATTATGAATATGAACTTTCCCTTTAAGACATTTTTAAAATTGTTTTTATTTAATTAGACATCATGTAGACAATAACACTACTGATGTAATAAGGACACTGTAATGTAACATGTTACCAATAATAACTATCGGAATAATATTGCTGAAATACAACATAAACTGTTGTAAACTCTATGGATATTGTAATTAAATGAGAAACATGTCATGATGATGAAAGGTAATAGTAGAACAAGCTTTCATGAAGTTGACATACCCGCTGTTGTTTGTTTCTAACTTTATGGAGGAAGTCACACTTGGATGGCGTCTGCGCTGTTCTGGTAAGCAAGCTGTGATGGACAAGGACATTTTCATACACACACAGAACGAGAGAGCGAGAGAGAGAGAGCGAGAGAGAGAGCGAGAGAGAGAGAGAGAGAGAGAGAGACAGTGAGAGAAATTCTGTTTGTTGAAAACCCTAAAGCTGAGTGGATGGGCTCTGGGTACAAGGTCAAGGTGAACTGAATTCACAGGTGCAAAACTTCTTCAGAAAATGAACAGTATACATACAACAAAGTTCATTGAGTGTTATAGTGTGTTTTTGAGGCTTCACAGCATCTCTCTCATCACCTGAAACTAACACCACATGTTTGTGGTTTGAGCAATTGGAGGACATGGAGCCTCAGCAGATATCTCATATGATAGGGTGGCCATTGTGGTTAACAGTTTAGAAGAGCTTCCTTCACGTCAATGGAGGAAATCATGAGAAGCTAAGTGCCTCTCTCTGACTATTACAGGGAGGAGCCACAGTGATGCTGAAGAAGGCACGTCAAGCGTATATTTTTTAGGGACAACAATACGAGCATTAAGTAAACTCTGTTGAGTGTGAATGTGAGAAATGTCAATATAATAATAGTGATAGTTTTAATGTAAATGTTTTTCATATGAATGTAGTTGTCAAATATTTTATGTTAATGATCCTATATGTAAAGGTAGGTGAGAAACTCTCAGACTTCTCTCACAACAGTTTCAAGATAAATGTAGATTATAATGATTGTTTTGATAGGATGATGATGATGATGTTAATGATGGTGGTGTTGATGATGATGGTGATGATGATGATGTTGATGATGAAGTTGATGGTGATGATGGTGATGATGATGGTGATGATGGTGGTGATGATTAGGATGTTAATTATGATGTTGATGGTGATGATGATGTTGATGGTAATGATAATATTAGGCAATAAAATCATGATGAAGACTATTTTGGACGATAATACATTGGATGATGATTATTATGATTGTTGCTATTAAACAAATAGACGAAGGCTATTTATTTATTTATTTATTTTATTTCACCTTTATTTAACCAGGTAAATCAGTTCTCATTTACAACTGCGACCTGGCCAAGATAAAGCAAAGCAGTGCGATAAAAACAACAACACAGAGTTACATATGGGGTAAAACAAAACAAAGTCAAAAATACAACAGAAATAAATATATATACAGTGTGTGCAAATGTAGCAAGTTATGGAGGTAAGGCAATAAATAGGCTATAGTGCAAAATAATTACAATTAGTATTAACACTGGAATGATAGATGTGCAAGAGATGATGTGCAAATAGAGATACTGGCGTACAAATGAGCAACATAAATAACAATATAGGGATGAGGTAGTTGGGCGGGCTAATTTCAGATGGGCTGTGTACAGGTGCAGTGATCGGTAAGGTGCTCTGACAACTGATGCTTAAAGTTAGTGAGGGAGATAAGTGTCTCGAGCTTCAGAGATTTTTGCAATTTGTTCCAGTCATTGGCAGCAGAGAACTGGAAGGAATGGCGGCCAAAGGAGGTGTTGGCTTTGGGGATGACCAGTGAGATATACCTGCTGGAGCGCATACTACGGGTGGGTGTTGCTATGGTGATCAATGAGCTAAGATAAGGCGGGGATTTGCCTAGCAGTGATTTATAGATGGCCTGGAGCCAGTGGGTTTGGCGACGAATATGTAGTGAGGACCAGCCAACAAGAGCGTACAGGTCACAGTGGTGGGTAGTATATGGGGCTTTGGAGACAAAACGGATGGCACTGTGATAGACTACATCCAATTTGCTGAGTAGAGTGTTGGAGGCTATTTTGTAAATGACATCGCCGAAGTCAAGGATCGGTAGGATAGTCAGTTTTACGAGGGCATGTTTGGCAGCATGAGTGAAGGAGGCTTTGTTGCGAAATAGGAAAACCGATTCTAGATTTAACTTTGGATTGGAGATTCTTAATGTGAGTCTGGAAGGAGAGTTTACAGTCTAACCAGACACCTAGATATTTGTAGTTGTCCACATACTCTAGGTCAGACCCGTCGAGAGTAGTGATTCTAGTCGGGTGGGCGGGTGCAAGCAGCGTTCGGTTGAAGAGCATGCATTTAGTTTTACTAGTGTTTAAGAGCAGTTGGAGGCTACTGAAGGAGTGTTGTATGGCATTGAAGCTCGTTTTGAGGTTTGTTAACACAGTGTCCAATGAAGGGCCAGATGTATACAAAATGGTGTCGTCTGCGTAGAGGTGGATCTGAGAGTCACCAGCAGCAAGAGCGACGTCATTGATATACACAGAGAAAAGAGTCGGCCCAAGAATTGAACCCTGTGGCACCCCCATAGAGACTGCCATAGGTCCAGACAACAGGCCCTCCGATTTGACACATTGAACTCTATCTGAGAAGTAGTTGGTGAACCAGGCGAGGTAGTCATTTGAGAAACCAAGGCTATTTAGTCTGCCAATAAGAATGCGGTGGTTGACAGAGTCGAAAGCCTTGGCCAGGTCAATGAAAACGGCTGCACAGTACTGTCTATTATCGATCGCGGTTATAATATTGTTTAGGACCTTGAGCGTGGCTGAAGTGCACCCATGACCAGCTCGGAAACCGGATTGCATAGCGGAGAAGGTACGGTGGGATTCGAAATGGTCGGTGATCTGTTTGTTAACTTGGCTTTCAAAAACTTTTGAAAGGCAGGGCAGGATGGATATGGGTCTGTAACAGTTTGGATCTAGAGTGTCACCCCCTTTGAAGAGGTGGATGACCGCGGCAGCTTTCCAATCTCTGGGGATCTCAGACGTTACGAAATAGAGGTTGAACAGGCTAGTAATAGGGGTTGCGACAATTTCGGCGGCTAGTTTTAGAAAGAAAGGGTCCAGATTGTCTAGCCCAGATGATTTGTAGGGGTCCAGATTTTGCAGCTCTTTCAGAACATCAGCTGTCTGGATTTGTGTGAAGGAGAAGCGGGGGGGGCATGGGCAAGTTGCAGCGGAGGGTGCAGAGCTGGTGGCCGGGGTAGCGGTAGCCAGGTGGAAAGCATGGCCAGCCGTAGCAAAATGCTTGTTGAAATTCTCGATTATTGTAGATTTATCGGTGGTGATAGTGTTTCCTAGCCTCAGTGCAGTGGGCAGCTGGGAGGAAGTGCTCTTATTTTCCATGGACTTTACAGTGTCCCAAAACTTTTTGGAGTTAGTGCTACAGGATGCAAATTTTCTGTTTGAAACTTCCATTCCTGTGGCGGTCCTTGTGAGAGCCAGTTTCATCAAAGCGCTTGATGGTTTTTGCGACTTCACTTGAAGAAACTTTAAAAGTTCTTGAAATGTTCCGTATGTCTTAAAGTAATGATGGACTGTCGTTTCTCTTTGCTTATTTGAGCTGTTCTTGCCATAATATGGACTTGGTATTTTACCAAATAGGGCTATCTTCTGTATACCACCCCTACCTTGACACAACACAACTGATTGGCTAAAACGCATTAAGAAGGAAAGAAATTCCACAAATTAACTTTTAACAAGGCACACCTGTTAATTGAAATGCATTCCAGGTGACTACCTCATGAAGCTGGTTGAGAGAATGCCAAGAGTGTGCAAAGCTGTCATCAAGGCAAAGGGTGGCTGTTTGAAGAATCTCAAACATAAAATATATTTTGATTTGTTTAACACTTTTTTGGTTTTGATAGTTTTGATGTTTCACTATTATTCTACAATGTAGAAAATAGTAAAAAAATAAAGAAAGACTCTAGAATGAGTAGGTGTGTCCAAACTTTTGACTGGTACTGTATATTTCACACTGTTTCACACAATTTCAGAAGTGTATACTCATCAGTGAAACAACATCATATTCCCACAGGTATTGTGACTGAGACGTCATGGCTTGTGCAGACATCCCTATGGACATCCTGGGTCCTGAGGCTGAGGCTGAGGCTGAGGCAGAGGAGCAGGAGTATGAGGAGGCCGGGGACCAGAGAGGAGAAGCACTGATCAAGTATTACCAAGCCACTGAACTAATGCCTGCTCCCAAAGGACCCCTCCATGACCTGTTACTGAAGCAGCCTGCAGTGTTGGGGGTAAGAGCATAGATACTAACAGCTCTATATAATACCATATTATACTGCTCTTTATATGTGGGCATAGCCACAGGAAGTAGTTTTGGGGTGGGGGTGCTGCCACTTTTTCGCCGAGTACGGGACTAGTAAAGGCCCAGCGCACTACTGCTGTGATAAAAACATATATATATTCTGAGAGGTGATTTGAAGGAGTCAGGCGCTGGAGGGTATTCCGTAGTACAGAGTTACGCTGGATAGCGTCAAACAGTCCAGTTTGCGCACTGGAACAAAACAGACACACAGGGAAAATATACCAGGCAATACAAAGTACACGTAGCTCAACCGAGCTACACTCTCCTCACATTAAACAATCACCCACAAGGACAAGGGGCGCAGAGGGAACACTTATACACGTACTATTGATGGGATATGAACCAGGTGTGTGTAATAGACAAGACAAAACAAATGGAATGATGAGATATGGAGCGGCAGTGGCTAGAAGGCGGGTGACGACGAACACCGAAGCCTGCCCGAACAAGGAGAGGAGGCAGCTTCGGAGGAAGTTGTGACATATATATATATATATATTATCAGTGGTGTAAAGTACTTAAGTAAAACTACTTTAAAGTACCACTTAAGTAGTTTTTTTGGTATCTGTCCTTTACTTTACTATTTATATTTATATATTTGAAAACGTTTACTTTTACTTCACTACATTCCTAAAGAAAATAATGTACTTTTTACTCCTTACATTTTCCCTGACACCCAAAAGTATTCCTTACATTTTGAATGCTTAGCAGGACAGGAAAATGTTCCAATTCCCGCACTTATCAAGAGAACATCCCTGGTCATCCCGACTGCCTCTGATCATGCTTAGTTTGTAAATGATGTCTGAGTATTGGAGTGTGCCCCTGTCTATCCATAAATTTAAAAAACAAGAAAATGGTGCGGTCTGGTTTGCTTAATATAAGGAATTTGAAATTATTTATACTTTTACTTTGACTTTTGATACTTAAGTCTA